CTCCCCCGCAATGGGTGTTCATTATATAAGACTTTAAACTTTGTATATTTAAAATTTTAGTAACACTGGGAAGGGTATATCTTTAGTTGATATTTCTGCTTTATTTGTAGCTATCATTTAGTGACCAAAACCCAAAAAGGTATAGATTAGAAGGAAAGAATTATGTTATGGTTACCTTTTTGGTAGTGCCTTGTTGGTGGTCTCTCTAGAGGGAGACCTGAGACCCCGGAAAGCACTGACTTTTAAAGAAAGAAAAGGAGACAGCCTGGAGGACAAACAGCAGTTTAATTCCTCTGGCACTATTCGACAATCACAAAGGAAAGAAGCAAGGCTTTTATACATGTAGGAAAGCAGCTTAGTTATTCTGGCTGTCGTCTTTCTGATTTTAACCTCTGGTGACAAATGACTTTAAGTGACTCATAAAAGCTACAGGCGAATTCGCAAGTCCTCCATTTCCTTTCACCAATCCTGTACATCAAAGAGCACACCGCAGCCCTATTCTTATCAGATGGTACCAAGAGAGCAGGACAACTTCAGCCAAAATCAAGCCCACTGGCCCACCACAAACATCACAGATGTGCATAGTGAGTCCTATCTCTCTCACTACCCGTAGAGTCATTGGGTCGCAGTTATCTGATCCCAGGAAATGGTAAAGAAGAAAACTAGGAAAATCTGTTTTTCTCCTGTAAGACTTTTACGATGTCTCTTAAAGTTTTCTGGCATTCTTTTAACAAACAGACTTGTGGAATTTCCCAGAAATGATTTAATTTTCTCAGTTAACGAACTTTTTGTGATCAATTCTTACAACTAGATAGCTGAATTCTACAATTTCCCACAGTGCCTTCATATAGTACATCCATATATTGAGTTTATATGTACTCAGATAAATGCATGTTTACTTTATAAATGACTTCATGGTACACCTGTAATTTGAATTTTGGACTGTTTGGGCTGCTTATTTTCTTTGAACCAGGGAGTCAAAATTTCCACTGTGGACCACTTGCTCTTTTCCATTTGGCTGGTAATGAAGGAGAAATGTGTATAGTAGTAGACAGTCCTACTTACTAATGAAGACTCATGAAATCCAAGACCAAGAGAACTGGGGTCTAGGGCAGACTTCTCTGAACTCAGGCCTCCCGTGGAGATATTTAAGAGAGGAAACCTCCTATTGAGTCTAGGATCTGTAGGGAGGCTTACTATATGCCACACCACAAGCTGTTCTAAGCAGTGGGGAAAAGAGAGATAGAAAAGGTCCTACTTTCAATGGAGCTTACTATTCTTGTGAGGAGAGAAAGCACAAAAGAAAAAATGAACAGGTAAGAGCACTCAGGTGGCAGTAACACTGAGAGCCCGATGTGGCTGCATAGGCCCCATGTAAAGTGCTACTTCCCAGACCTGGGGAGTGGAGGCCTCAGTGAGGAGCTGAGTCCCGAATAGTGGACACGAAGCTTCCATGTGAAAGCGTGCTGATCTTCAAGACTGCATGGCCACATGCAAAATGTATCTTGAGAGTACTGTACTTCCCTGATCTGAGAAGTGAGGGAAGAAGAGCAGGTGGAAGTGCCTGGGACTAGGCAGAGGCTCCTGGCCACCCTGTGCAATGTGAGCAGAGCTGGTGCTGTGCAGGCTGGGTCGCAGGTGCCCTCACGGCTCTGCTGCACACCAGCCCAGCTGCTTGTGATCTGAGGAACCCAGATTCTTGCACAAGGATGAGCTGGACCGGACACCGCCATGCTTTCTCTGTCTCTTGTTATTTTGAGCATGTGTAATATTTACTGGCATTTAGAGGACTGTTAGTTGGCAAATGCAATATTATACTCATATGTAGGATTTAGTCAATGGTATGAATCTTAGAAACACAATTTATTTAAGAATCACTAACTGTTATGCTTGTCTAAAAACAGCACACACCTTGCTTTGGTTAAGTAAATGTGCAGATATATTCTTTTTTTTTTCTTTTTTTTTGGTGCCGGGGATCGAACTCAGGTCCTTGTGCTTGAGCAGCAGGCGGCAAAACCAGTGAGCTAAATCCCCGGCCCTACAGATATATTCTTAATGATGAAAAGACATCTTGGATCACCTCTGCCCTCTTAACAACGATAGGAGATAATCTAAAAGTTATGCTGACTTTATAACTCCTCCCCTGAAGTAGCGCTAACTCAGACAACCCATCTGGGCTTCACAGGTGTAACCCATGACAGCTCTTCCTTCTTTTTCATTCAATCTTGGTGATTTTATAGTAAATGACATTATTGTGTTTTCTATAAAAAGAATAAAAACTAGAACAAGTTGGGAAACCAAAATCTGTTTAACTTAGATGGATTCTTGTTTCAAGTTGTAGAGGAAAATGCTAAAATTTCTAATGCTGAAAATCTTGTTATAGTATATTGGTTTCTTGGAAGGGTGATAATTGTGATTTAGTTTAGTTTTGACTGAGATTTAATTTTGCTCAAAGCAGAAATTTGAAAAGCTTTATGAATGTAGGTAGAGGCATAATTTCATTTTCATCAATTAATGGAATTACCCAGCTGCAGTTAGATTTGTCAGTAAATATTTATCCAGCATGTTATGTTGCAGGTGATAGGGATGCAGCACCCTTCCTGGTGGGATTGACTTGAGTAGAAAGTGAGTAGAAAGTGAGTAGAAAGTACCTACAGTGGTGTACAGAGAAATTTCAAACTAAACAGCAGAACATCTTAGATGTTCATGTCTGTCAGTGAAAGGTCAGCTGAGGATCTTTGGAATAGCTTTATGATCTCATCTCCTTAAACAGGAAAAGATGTGCTATTTCTGAAAATTCTAATCATTTTGAAAGTTGAAAGGAAAACTCTGGGAAACTTACTACTCTGGCTTTCTCTGGAGATTCAGACTGGAGAGTGAGTTGGAGGTGGGAGGGGCCGGGCCTGAGCTCCAGACCAAATTGGTGGCAGACTTCCCCCCAGCACCTCCTGGTGTACCCTGTGGGCTTGGCAGAGCTGTGTCAGCCACTTGTTATGTGCCCAAAAGGAAAATTTTTAAAAATGTTCAATGAAAAATCATTGTGATAACATTAGCCTAAGAGCCTAAGGGAATTGTTAGATGATTTTAATTAGAAGAGAGGTTAACTTTCAGATTTCATCCTGACCTTGGGTGGAGAATAAATGAAGGGAGAAGCAAGAATGGAGGGAAGAATAGCAGTGAATGGAAATGTGTTAGCAGTTTAGGAAGGAGCACATGAAAGCTGAGACTAAGATGAAGGGATAGATTTGTGAAGTATTTCCTATATGGAATGAACAGCCGTGTAGAAAATATTTTCGTGTTATGGAGATGTTTTTATTTGCTTTTGTTTAGAAAAGGCGGTTTAATTAAAAAGCATGCTATATAGATTGACAGATGTGAATGAGAAAGCCCAGTTCATCTTCTCTGTTGTCAAAAAATTGACTTTTGAAATATCTAGAAAACATTTAATCTTACTAAGGTATAGCTTTGGTTCTGAAATGTAAAAGCCTTGAGCAATGAAAATGACATTTTATAGAGGGATTTGACATTAATGGATACGCGGCTATTAAAGTAGCAAGGTGTTTTGTTTATAAGCCTTGATAACCTAGATACAGTAATATTTTATATTCATGAAACACTAGACAACATTTCTTACGGATATTGAAAGTCTGTTGTGCTAAAAGTACAGTATGTTGTCTTATGTTACTGTATTGTAAATTAATAACTACTGAAGTTAGTTTTTGTATAAAATTGGAAAGATTTCCATTATTAGGTTTGATTTAATCAAAATGACTCCATACATGGCAGCTTGGTCAATTTTTAAAATAAATATATATTTTTAAAATGATAGCGCTATTTTTATTTGCCTAACATTAAAAGTTAGGTTAGATAAATTAAATGACTTTCCCATTTTTAGGAAATTTTAATTAATATATGAGAAAATTAGAAATAGGATGCCTCATAATAAGGTATATACCATGGATATCTTTTAGTTTGTTGCTTATCTTGAGGTTCTCTTCTGTGAATTATGAAGTGGTTTATTAGCACAACACAAGAACTCTTCTGATCATAATTGAATCCAAAAGAAGTTGTGTTTTAGTTTTGTTTGATTGCTTTATTACTTCATACTATTTGATTTAAAAAAAATTTTTTTATCTGATTATTTTTTTTGATGAATGTCTTCAATTTCTTTGGAACAAATTCATATAAGAGGGCATTCTCTTAAGAACAGAAACAAGGGCCGGGGATGTAGCTCAGTGGCACAGAGCCTGCCTGGCAAGCACAAGGCCCTGAGTTTGATCCCTGGTAAAAAAAAAAAAAAAAAGAACAGAAAAGAATATAGACATACATAGAAATATAATTAATAATGCAATAAAAATTGAAAATTTACATTTCCACGCACAGTGTTCAACAGTCAGGCTTTGGCTCTCCAGTTCTTAGATCAATTTGAGGTCCTATTTCAGTATTAAATATTTTGAGTTGCTTTTGCATATTTAATGTGGTTGTCAAAATGAAGGCATACATGCTGGAATGTGTGCATATTTGTGTATATATACGCTTCTGTCTGTGTATAACTATGTTCACAGGAGCTTACCTACAAATGAAAATCCCTCTCTTTAATATCACTGGTATTATAGAATTCAGTACCATAAGGTTGATTTTCATACATACTAATATCAGAAGCTTTTCCATTTTTATTTATAAAATTTTTTTTCGGGTTGAGGCTTTTTTCCAGGACTCTGATGGGTGCTCCCTCTCACTCTATGTCTGGCCCCCTTTTTTTCTTTAGTTCTAAACCCGATGATGTGTCTCGCTTCCTGACAGCCATGTGTTTCCCTTTATAATCACACAGCACATCAGCTTTCTGTGTAATTTCTTGTTGTAAAACCAAGAGGCATTTCTTTACGTTTTAGGTACTGCCTTCCAGGTCTGCTCCCGGCCTGTGTTGCATTTAGCATTCATTCCTACCTGTTCAGTGTTTGGCCTTCGGTGTTTTTACTAACTCCCTTCTCTGCTTTCAGTTGACTGCCCGATCTTTGCCTGCTGTGCAGTCAGATGAGCGACTTCAGCCTCTGCTCAACCACCTTAGGTAAGAAGAGGCACAGAGTTATGATGCTGTTAAGTGCAAGTTGGTTAGTGGGTAAAGTGTGTGTAATGGTTGAAACTCCTTAAATTACTGAAAACTTTAAATCTTTTTTCTTAAATGATATTATTCAAATGGAAGTTCTCAATACAATGTGTACTGTACTTGTTACCTTCAACTTTAGGATATTGTGGACAGCTCTTTTAATTTGACAAAAATGTGTGAAGCAACTTGCTAAGTTTAAGTTAAAATGAATAGAGATGACTACAGAAAGATCTAAAGTGAATATTTTACTTCCTGAAACACAAGGCTAAGGCATATTTTTGTTGGTTCTAGATGAAATGGGCAGGGTTTGGTTTTTTGTAAATATAAACAGGATATATCTTCATTATTTAAAGAATAAGCTGAGAAAATATAGGAGAAGGAAAAACCTGTTGTTACTGCTAGTTTTCTCCCTTCTATGAAGTTTTAAAACCCAGTATTGAAATTGTGCTTTTATAAAATTTTACTATTTTTTCAATTTTAAAATAAACTTTTAAAGATTTTCTTATTATTAAAATCACTCTAAAAATATCATTTTTAATGACTGCCTGATATTTTCTTGTATGGCTGCACTGTAGTATATTTGTCACCCTTTTGGAGGCATTTAGACAGCATTTAAGCCATTCCCAATTTTTTCCATACTATAAATAATGCTGTATGTAAACATCTGTATTTTATACAATTAGGATAGATTTTTTTAGAAATGGAATTACTTGGTCAGAGTATGAATCATGTTAAATATTTAAATATACATATATATATTTTAAACTTTATTCTATTTATGGTCCTGAATTATACAAGGCTATCCATATTAGTATACCCTGAAAAAGATAAGGCAGCCAAAAGAGTTATTAATTTAATAGGTTAATCAGAGATTCCATTGTGATCATACACATTTCAGTTATTATTAAGAATGACTTTTAGAATCAAGGATTTAGCTCAGTGGCACTGTGTCTGCCTGGCACAGGATTGTTTCTGCTTCCTCAATTCTGATCCATTGGTCAACATGTCTGTTTTTGTGCCAGTACCGTGTTGCTTTTACTATCATAGCTTTGTAGTGTAACTTGAAATCCAGGATTGTGATGCTTCCTACTTTGCTGTTTTTTCTCAGGAGTGGTTTGGCTATTCTGGGTCTCTTCTGGTTCTATATAAATTTTAGAATTTTTTTCTAATTCTGTGAAAAATGGTGTTGGTATTTTGATGGGAATTACATTAAATCTATTTATCATTTTGGGCAGTATGACCATTTTTACAATACTGGTTCTGCCTGTCCAGGAACAGGGGATGTCTTTCAATTTTCTGATTTCCTCTTTATATGTTTAGTTGCATGAATAAATACAAGTTTTCAGCAAATTTTTTTGTTTTTTCTGCATAAAGTTTTTATATTTTATATTGTCAAGAGCTTTTTTCCTATAAAACCACTGGTTCAAAAGATAAACTGAAAGGGTTAAATCTCACCTCTAGTTAATGCTTGATTCTGTGAGATAATAATGGATTCTCTTTCCTTTGTATCAGTTTGGTAATTTTCAACTAGAATTTAGATTGACTACTGACTTCTCTTCGAGTCCTTGAAGCTAGTGGAAACTGTATATTTGTTTAAAGCTTTTATTCTCTGCAGTTCACTCATGACTGGTTGCTAGGCAACCAGAACTAGATGCTACATATAATATGCACCTACTGAATTGCTTTCTTATTAAGCCAAATGGTTTCCTGTTTTATTGCCATATCAGAGACATCTGTATGTAGAGTGGCAGCTGATGTGCAAAGTTGGACACTTCCTGTTCTCCCAGTGACCTTGTGCTATGTCTTTCAAGCATGTTGAATTGTCTCTTTGGCTGTCCAAATGCAGTGCACAGCAAAAGGATGATGGTGCCTGTGATGCTAAGAGAAGCCTTCCAAAAGGAATGGCAAACACCATCCGGTGGCATGGGGAAGTCAAGCCAGAGCTACATTGTGGCACCTGAGTTGGGCACCTGGCAGCCCCTGGAGGCTTCGTCACAGCCCTGTGATGGTAGAAGTGTGAGCTGGACAGGACCAAGAAGTCAAAGTGATTGGCATTTACAGAATACTTTCCAACCTAGATTATTTCGTTCATACTGTACCTAGAAGAACGCGGTGAGGATTGTAGATGGTGTTTTTATTGTTGTGTCTGTATTACAGGTTTGACAAAGGAACCATAGGAAGATCTCATTAGAAAGTCTAATTTTTTAAAATGAAAAATATTGCTGTTTCTGCTCCTCAAAAGAAATAAATACTGGCTGGGTGTTGTGTCATGTTCCCATAATCCCTGCTACACAAGAAGCTGAGGCAGGAGGATTGAGAGTTTGAGACCAAGACTGGACAACAAAGTGAGATCCTGTCAAGAGAGGGGATTGAAGGGAATGGGTGGATTACTTCATGAGACTTTACCATTATTCACAGTTGATAGTAGGAATACTTCAGTTAGAAAAATAAACTTGGTTCTTAGACTTTTAAAAACTAAAGTTCCAAAATGCCACAGAGAATTTGAATGAAACATTACAATTTGTCATCAAAGGAATCTAAATCTCCTTGTGACCTAATTGTCATCCCTATGTTTAAATGTCACTGCATTTCTATGGTGAGTTCAGTGTACTGATTTTTTTTTTTTAGTTGTATAAAGCTCTTTAGATGTGTTCCCATGAATATAGAAGTGTATTATAAATAAGTATAGTATTTTGCTCCCCTAATGATGGTACCTATGGTATAAAATTTGTAAGACAGTACCAGACTAGTGAGGGAATATGTTAAAGATTGTTATTTTAAGCTTATTATGTCGCTTATAAATGTAAAGTATGAACAGATGAGACTAGAGAGAAAAATGTGCAAGCCGTGTGATAACTAATCGTGTGATTGAAATTTTTTTCCCTTAAAAATTATGCGTCTCCCCACAGCTTATGTATCTTCCTCCTTTATTCTTCCACTTCAAGATAGAAAGTGAGTGGGCTACAGCATATTATAGGTCACTTTAAAGGTTGTTCTTATGTAAGATTTTGTTCTTATGTAAGATTTTGTTCTTAAGTAATAACTAATTTGAAAATGTGCTTGTTAAGTATTCCTCCTAATTTTTAAAGCATATTTCAGCCTATATTGAGTTAAAAAATCAGGTAAAGATAAAACATGATTTGCAAAGAGAAGTATTACAGGAAATACCCCAACCACATAGGTTAACTTGAATACATCATGGATTTATAAGCAGATGTTTATACTGACCTTTCTTTTAAAATCATTTAGAATAATGAAAGCACCTTTCTTCATTGGTTTTATTACAGACTACTTTCATAGGATTCCTTCTATTGCTGTAAACCTGCTTCATATAGTCACATTTCTATTTATTCCTTTAAAGGTCATGCTGTCACAAATTTTATATCAGACATATAACCTCTCTAAGAAAGCTTTCCCAAGTACCCATAGTGGTATGGCAAAGCGTTTTCTTTTTGAGTTAGCTCTCATTTTGAAATTGGAAAGTTGTGTGGGCATTCATGTGTCTGTTGTGGTAACTATGAAAACAGATGCTATGAAATGGTCAGTGGACTGGAGCTTCCACCAACCTTGGGCTGAACTGAAAGCACCGTTAATGTGGTGCTCATGCTCCACTTGTGTGCCGGTTCTTCCTCATCCCCTGTTTCTAGTCTCTGGCAGTGCCTGAACTATTGAAATAGTTCTACGTGCAGCATCACAAGCATTCACCAGTTATGTGAAGGTTTTCAAGGTACCATGTAAGATATTAATAAATTAGAATATATTGTTTTCCATTATCTCCTTTGAATTAGAAGTTTTTCACGTGTATGTGGAAAATGTTCAGGCATTCTTGCAACGTATTTATCAAGAGTCAGCATTTTGTTAGAAGCAGCCCATGTATTGAGGGTGGTATAACAGACACTGATTATGTACAAAGGAGCCAGCAGGTGTGGTTTCTTAACTCAAGAAGTTTATATTTTTAAAGCAAAAGCACCAAAATTTATTGTCTGTCTGTCTCTCCACCCCCCCCCCAATTTCTTAACCTTAATCAAGCAGAGAATAAAGAGAAGAATGGGAAGTCTTGGGAGAGACGATATCTGTTTGTGGATTAGGTTACAAATTTAATGACATTTAATATAGTTGGTAAAATATATGTCACAATATATACAATTTGGGAAAGAAGTAACACATTTTATCTCTGGCTAGGCTTTTGTTGTAACCTCTGTGCATATTTTTATATAATTATAATGAAAGTGATTAAATTTTTAAACAGTTCTTTCACCTAATATATAACTGTAATAAAATAGAAATTTGACTTTCAGAGCTCTAATTTTTGTGTCTGTATAACATTTGCTTGAGGACAGAAAGCATTTATCCTTACTTAACCACTCCCAGTTTATTGGGTATTGAGGCTTTTCTTTGGCTGGATAAGCCTGGAAAGAAGAATTACATATGTTAGAAGTTCTCTGACCAGGTGAAGTCTAGTGGGGAGAAGTGAGGTAATGACTTAGTGAGGAAGGAACTGCAGCACAGATGATTTCCAGCAGGTTGAGAGAAGAGCAAAGAGCAGCAGCACCTGTAGGTGGTGTAGGGGGTGTACAGCTGTGAAGATGCAGGAGAGGTCCTCAGGGTAATGGTGTCATGTTGCCCAGGTGAGAAAGTGGTGGCATTCTTAGCAAGAGAACCCATGACTTGCAAAAGGTGGAGTTCAGGAAGCTGATTTTAAACCTTATAAGTGTGTCTAGATTAGAACCTATGTAGCTATCTTCCCAACACATTGTCCTTTAACTTTTTTTGAAATCACACAAATAAGTGTTAAACGACTGTTTCTGGGTAATAAATATGTGTATATAAATTTCTCTGGTGTTTAGAAGTGACACTAGCATTTTGTGTATGCATAAAACAAAATATGATGAGTGCATTAGCTTTCCAATACAGCCATCACAAATGTAGTCGATTAAATGCCTACACAATGTTTATGTTCC